TTTAATTTCAATTTTGAAACTCGTGATAACTGTGTTCTTGAACTCTAAGAATTAATCAATAGCGCGACATTGTTAACTTCGAGGATGTCGCGCCATAAGAGGCGGAAGGAGAGTAGCCTGTCTTCAGATGAAGGCAGCAACTCTCCTTCTTTGCCTGAACTAGTTGAGACTGTTGAATCGCCTTTGCCAGTAGAAGATAAATCAAAAGATCTTGTTTGTGTCCCAGAAACACCTGACTCACCATCATTAGTTCCACCTTTGGCAATTCCTGACTCGGCTTTGGGGAGATCAGTTGCTGCTGATGGAGGGACTGGCCTTTCCACAGTTCCCCGGAACCTAGTCCGGAAAAGTCCTATTTTTGTCTGAAATATCGCGGCTCTAATATCATATAATTTCAGTAGGTATGAAATCTCGCGGCTCTAATATCATATAATTTCAGTAGGTATGAAATCTCGCGGCTCGAATGTCATAAATTTTTGTTTGATTAAAAAATCGCGGTTTGCACTTCGCAAACATGTCATTTCATAAAATTTTCAACTTCCGCAATGGCGCAATCCGCATTGCTTTACCGTTTCAGCCAAAAATATCTTGCAGAAAAAACATAAACATCGTAATGTAAACAAATAAACAAAACGTTTGTTGAAGATCGCGCATAGTTGCGGTCATGGTGGCAGGGTCAGACTGTATATTANAGTCGTTTTGGGATCAGCTCTTTACTTAGTCTCTAGTGTACAGCTTGTTGTGCCTGTCTTTTGTAGAGATTGTTTGCTGCTCACCTCAATATTACTCTTAATTTTTGATCCTTCAGATACATGCCCACAGGAGTTTTGTTTGTTGTGAGGTAGCAACTCACTCTCACATATTGATAAGACCATTTTGGTCGGAAGAAGCTCCAGGCTGTGCCGCCCAGGCTGGACCTTCGGTAGAGCCTACAGACTCATGTGAGGCTGAGTGCAGGGCATGTCAGTGAACACTAACCCGGGATGAAATATGAACATATATTCAAACCTCATTCATTTAAATGCAGCATTTGCCCTTTCCAGTAGCAATATTCTCTTAGTAACTCTGCACTCTGAAGTGTCTTATCTCTGAATTTTTGCCCACAGTTACGCAACCCCCGTAAATCACCGTCCTGTCGAGGATCTACCTTGGACGCGTCTCCAGAGCCCCTTCAACTACAAATAGAAGAAGAAGAAGAATCTAAAGCAAATCGAATTCCAATATGAAGCAAGTTGTTGCTCTTGCCCTCTGTTATCGAGGCTTTCCAGAGCATTGTGAGTGGAGCCTTCAGTGCTCCAACACACTTCTTCAACAGCACTGCCGGAATTCCGTCGGGTCCTGGTGCTGAAAACGTCGCCAATTCTTTGATACTTATTTTCATGTCTTCCAGTCCAAACTCAATGTTCTCCAACTCTCTACCGCCTGGCAGCTCCTGGAGAACTTCAATTTCATTCTCCTCCCTTGAGTAGCGGGGGAGCCAGGGGTTACTGAACGCTGATCCAAACTGAGATCCCAGTAACTCACACATGCCCTGGTCATCTCCAACAATGACTTCGTTATCCTAAAGCGGGCCTACTGGCGTCTTTATTTTAGCCTTGGTCTGAGCATATTTAAAAAATATACTTGGGGTTCTCTTTGATGACCTTAACCACTCGCTCTTCCGTGGCTTGTTCTTCCATCCTGTGCGAGACCTGCAGCCTGAGTTCAATTTTCTTGTGCAAATTTACTAGCCTCTGTCTTCTCGTATCACCAGTGGATTCAGCTATTTGTTTATTTAATCGCTCGCGTTTTCTCAAAAGGATTTGTCTGTCTCTCGGAATGCTGCGGACTTTAGGCCCTGTTTTTCTTGGTGTATGACGCACACATACCTGTGCTAGTTTCTCACACAGTTTTGTGTAGATTTCCTCAGCATTCATCTTGTGAAACTCTGCTCTCTAATCGATTTCATCAATTTCATTACGAATTGCCTCCCAATCCGTTCTTTGATTGTGAAAGTTGAGTCCTGCCAGTCCCTCTTGGGGTATAGACCTGGGCAGGGTTTCAATTCCAATTGTCGTTTCCACCATCACTAATCGATGGTCAGACAGTGAGGTATCTTTAACCCGGACGTCAACCACCATTCTTTCATTATTAGTGAAGAAGAGATCAAGAATATTGTGTTCTCTTGTCGGCGACCATACCTGCTGACTGAGCAAGTGTTCCGCAGCAAACTTCACAAGTTGGGCTTCTTGACTTGTGTCGCAGTCATCGACCTCTAAGCCGCCAGGGCATGTCCAACGGATTTGTGGGAGATTGAAGTCCCCACCAATTATCAGGCTGGGGGCTGGGTCACCCAGTTCAGCCACACTGGTCTCTATTTCCTTAAGGGTTTTGTTGAAATTTTCCAGCGGACAAGCAGGCGGTCTATAGACTATGGCTACGCACAGAGCATATTTTTTTATGTGAAGTACCGTAGCACGTATTCAACAAAGCCGTCAGAGTTTCCGGATTTCGATCTCAATTCTACAGTGCTTCTTGCGAGGGAGTTCCTAAGGTAGACAATTACTCCACCCTTCTTTCTCCCTTCTTTTCAGTCCGCACGGTAGTGTTGGAATCCTTCCATTGTAATTTCTGCATCGAGGATATCTTTTCTTAGGTGCGACTCCATTAGTGCAATCATAAAGATCCCACCCTCGTCGGCCATCTCACGCAGCACGCCAATCTTGTGACGTGCTCTCAGTGGGAAGAGCCCCTCAATGTTGGCCAGCAGAATGCCAGACTCTTCCCTTATTGGTGCGCTTACCTGTGTCTCCGCCACTCTGCCTGGCACCCCTGACCCAGCAGCTCCTGCATCTGGAGTTGAATTGTTTCCAGCTGATGCCTCATTTCTAAAAGAGTGCCGTAGGTAATCTCTGGCTCCCCGCGTGCGTCCCTGTCCCACACACTTGGGCCACTCCCTGGAGTAGCTCGGTAATCCCTCATTCTCCAAGAACTAACCTCCTCACCGCTCCTTCTACTAGTGTTTCCCACAACCTTATCACTTCCCTGTCTTCCCTGTGATGGTGGGGACTGTGAGGGTGAGGGAGTGTGCTGGCGTCCAGCAGGAGCCCTTCGTTTTGGGGGTGAATCATTGTTGCCTCCTCTTCTGCTGGCTTCCTCCATTCACTTCCACGATTTTATGTGAAGAAACCTGCAGTTTTCACTCGTGCAATCTTCTTTCTGCTTGATACTCCAGCACAACTTAGGGTGATGGAACGCGCAGTCTCTTCCTTTTTTGTACCCTCGTGGGTGCCCGCTTCCGTAGGTACAGAATTTATAGCACAGTATAGGATGTGAAAATCTGCAACCAACGCCCTTTTTCCCGTGTTCACATTTCTTTTGCAGGTACTTCCAGCAAACACCTTTCTTTACGGGTGGTCTACTTGAGGGTGCATCTGCAACTTGGGTGAATGGTAAGGGTGGTAAGGTAAGGGTGACCAAAGCTAGCTCTCACTTAACTCTGCAACAGTAAGTCCCAATGACCATCCATCTCTTCCAGAACTGTCTTTGCCAAGCCAAACTGCCAAAGCTCTTTAACAATTCAACCTAGTCTGCCTCTTCTTCCAAGCTCCAATAGCCAACCTGCCTGCTCATCTGCTACTGAATCTTCAGAGCCTGTTCCTATTTTAAATCATTCTGCAACAAACATTAATCATTCCAACTTTGAGGGATTTGAGAGCTCATGCCTCAATCAGCCCTATGATGATGATTTGGACTCAGACTCAGTCATTACTGCAGGTCAAAGAAATAATGCTGACATTTATGTATAGTGTATACTCTATGTCAATGCATAATCCTATAATTCTTGTTGAACCAGTTCTGCAGCATGACAGTGGAGATACTCAACATGATGTGACGAGATTTCTTTCAAATGACCTGGCTCTTAGCAAAGCCTTGGCTAATTCTCTATTTGGGAAGACTGGCATTGCAAGCATGTCAAAGAATCGGCTCAAAATTTACTAGTCATTGCCATGAAATCTTCAGATAATATCTCATCCCTTTTAGAAATAGAGAGCCTGGGGCCGTGGAAGGTCAAATGTAGACTTCCAGCAAACCAAACAACTTCTGTAGGAGTTATTGGTCCCTTTGGCAAAGGAGTCATCAACGAAGAACTTTCACAAGCCCTGGCCTCTGAAGGATATCAGGGAGCCAATGCTGAAAGAATTTTCAAAGGTTGAGAGCCCATCATGACCTCTATGTTCAAGGTTACTTTTCAAAGCAGCACCTTGCCTTCACATGCGAGTATTCAATAGCAACGTTTTGATGTACACATATTTGTTGGCAAGCCCTGGCAATGTTTTGGGTGCCAGAGATTTGGCCACAGTGCTCCAACATATAATAGCCCTTCCCATTGTGTAGCATGTGTAGCTGTGTAGGTGGCAAGTCAAGGATTGTACACATACAGGAGTACCAAGGTGCTGCAACTGCGGTGATGCTCACATGGCCAACTATGGTGGTTGCCCAAAAATGAAGCAGGCCAGCGCTGTGGAAATAACCAGAACGGTGAAGAGGAGCATATGTATTGCTCCTCTTGCTTAATGATTATTTTTTACTTTTCATTCCTGGCACTTTGGTTTGGTGTATTGATTACTTGGAGTTACCTACTCCTAGAGACCACTAGAAAATTGGACTATGTCTTATTATTCTGGGCCCAAAGTATCTAGGAACAGCAAACGGCTCAATAATTTCAAGTCAGTATTCAAATAAAATTTTGCTTCATAGGTGGAATGTCTTTATCTTCTTTCTTGATGGCCAGGAGTTGGTTTAGTGATCTTAGGCTCTCATCAAGAAGACTGTAGCTCCACACCAACCGCTCCTAAACGTCAAATAAATGCGTTCATAAGAACTAGCCTTCTAGGAATATTGACATCAGGAAGATGTTTAAAACTGTTTTGCCACACACAAAGTCATGAATGCATTAGTTTCAGAAGTAAAGTTATTCAATGGTGGACACAACATGGTTCAAGTAAGAAAAATGAAAATTGTGCTATAAAAGGACAGGATTAACATGAGAACCAGTGTAAACCATCCATCATTCTTTATAAACAGGCATGAATGACTGGAAAAATATTTCTTAAGAGCTCAGTAATAACAAATAGTAGCATGGTGTAATTTTAATGAGATGAAATGAACTGTACTCACTAAAATGGGGCATCAGGATGGGATTAGCAAGCAGCAGTGTAGATTGAATCATGCATTAAGGCATCTTAAGCAGGCTTTTGAAGGTGAGAAAATAATCAGGTGCAACCAGTGAATTTTCAATTCAGCAATCAGGGGTGCAGGCTAACCAAAAGTGCATTACATATGGACTTGCAAGATTTATGTCTCATTAACTTGTACTCTGCTTAAAAATAACACCAAGAGGAACAAGATTAACAAGATGCACATGACACTTGAAAGATAATGAAATAGGTAAAACATGACATACATTAAGGTACCTACCTACAATTGTAAATGAATGATTCTACTGTATAATATAGCTAATATTCTGTGGTCCTCTTCAACATTGTGCAGGATATTTTGGTGGAATCATCAAAGTATTGGGGATTGCGGAAGTTGAAATTTTATGAAATGCCATGATTGTGGAGTGCAAATTGCGATTTTTTTCAATCGAACGAAAATACATGACAGTAAAGCAGCAAGATTTCATACCTACTGAAATTATATGATGTTAGAGCCACGATATTTCAGAAAAAAATAGGACTTTTACAGCCCTGCTTATGCTCAGTGCCTCAGCCTCCAGATGTCCAATTTTCCAGTCCAAACTAAAATTTACCGGAGGCCAGACGCCAGAGTTTGATTGATGCTTCTAATTGCTTAAGTTTAGGCATGCTGCTACTGTCAGTGGTAGGCAGAAGCCAGGGTGCAGAGGGTGCAAACTGCATTGCCAATATATGCATTTGTAGCCCATTTTCAAGATTTGTTGCTGGGTAATTTTAATAAGAAAATGCTGCCAACCGTTTTGATAGTATATCCCTTACTCTCCATGCACTGCAACACCTATAACTTGGCAGCTATCTGGCAGCCATATGCGTGGCACCATCTATTGAGAGAGTGGCAAAGTAGAGTGAGGCTCAACACAATTCTGCCACCTGGACTGCCAAGAGATGGCAATGTGCTCATATCAACAAAGCTATCATGAACCCTACGTCCTAGCAACCATTGCTTAGTTCTAGAATTATTATTGTTCTCATTATTCACTGCATCCGCCACTTGCAGTCTTTCAGATTTTCAACTATTTTCTAAATAGTTGGCCAAAGACTGACAAATATCTAGAATGCAATAATTTCAATACAAATGTGTTGGCAAGAACTTTTAAAGGCATAAATTAAGCTGCTATTTTTCAATCAGTGCGCTGCTCAGATTAAGAGATATATTTTAATAAAGATTAAGAATATGATGAATACATTACTAAAACATATAAATATTTACTTATTACTTATAGTTATATCTAACATAATATATATAATTATATTCTATCAAATGGGTAATAAGGGACAGGCAGGGTAATAAGGAACAGTCCTCTAACATTTTGTAGAAATGTTGTAGCAGCTAAACTAATTGAAATATTGCAAAACAAAAAATAGTGGCATGAAGTTCAACATTTTTCCTATCTATGTAGCGTAAAGCAAGTTGGGAAATCATATACGGTATATACTACCTTTAAAAAATCCTTGAAAAAAGTGTGAAAAATGAGATTTTGGAAAAGTACCTACCTCTGCTAAGGTCTGTAGCAAAAAAAGATTTTGGAAAAGTACCTATGCTAAGGTCTGCAGCAAAAAAAAAAAAAACATTCACCGTATTAACAAATTTTACTTGCATAAAACTTGCTGCTGTCATGGGTTATGGTGTTGGTTAAATGTTGGTTAAAAATGTGGGGTGTTGGTTAAAAATGTGATTGACAGAATTAGCATATCTCATTCAAGGAAAAAATGGCAGCCATTTCCGCATGATGGAGTAATGAGGAACACCTCCCCGGGGTAATAAGGGACACCCCTAAAAACGCATTCAAAGTAGAACCTTGGTTAGCAAAGGCTCCAGTTAACAAAAAAATCAATTAAAAACAAAGAATTTTGATTAGATTTACTTTGCTCAGTGTAAAAATTTCACTTGACAAAAAATTAGTGCATCATCAGTCATCACCAAACTGCAGAGAATGTCCTAGATAGAATTGTTCACTGGGCAACATAGAATGAAAAGTAATTAACCTAAACTATGATTTTTTTCTCAAAAAATATGATGGTTGTCACTAAAATATTCCTTTGTGTTTCAGGTATGTTCTTTTTATCTTTTTTTTTTTTTTGTTATAGTGAATTCACTAGACTCAATTAAGATGGTTTGAAATTACAAGCCATCCTGTAAGCTTACCTACAGAAGAAATACTTCATGGCTGTTGATATGAAGCTTGCAGTGGACTGTGGACATGGTCGTTGTAAATGCTCAATGGCATGTCCATGGATTAGGTAATATCACATCAATAATACGGTAATGTATGGATGAAGTAATATCATATAAATAAAGGAAAAACAAGTAAAAATTACAGAAAATGCATTTATTCTACATCTGCATCATCTACAAAGGATGAGGAAGACTTCAGAGTACTTTTAGTAATGGACAAGCACACTCTGCATGCTTCAAACGTTTTAAAACTGAGTTTTATATCAAGTGTCCCTTATTACCCCATTCCGGGGTTAGTTCAGGAGGCTTTTATTTTGCGTCTGGCATCTTGCCAATAGCATATGGAATTTTTTCAAAGATGCCATACAATAGCCCTTGCAAATAACTTTAAAATGAGCTCAAACTCGTTTATGAAATGTTTCATTGTAAGAAGTTATCAAGGAAAAACGCTCAAAACCATCCCTTATTACCATGTTTGAGGGTTTTATATGATATTTTATATATTTACCATGTGACTATTTGTATCACAAGAAGGTTATAGCTAAAATTAGTCAACGAGTCAACCTACTTTATAATATCATTCACTAAGATACAGGAAACAAAATAATATTTGAATATTGAATTGATTCATAATTTTTTGCTAACTTATGGGTTTCAAGCTTGAAACCTGTGTTCAACAGTTCATTTTTTTATGCAACAATTGCAATATTTTTTTAATGGATAGATCTGTTACACTGTCTGCAAAATATCACTGATGCGATGCTGACTGTTTTTTTTTCAGCTCTGCCAAGCAGAAGACAAATGAATGACCTTTCTTTGGTGCCCATGGCTTCAAAGCCTCTCATCGTCTTGCCATCTTTTGCTATCTTGACCTCAATAGAACTCACACGTGGCCAGAAGGTAATAATTCATCAAACTTTCTATTTAATATTCATCTGGTAAGTCTGCCTGAGGAAAGCTTGATTTTTCTAATTTTTATCCAAAAAACAACAAGATCTTGAATGCCCCACACATGGTTACAGATTTTCATGTCTGCTTAAAGTCTACTCCTAATTTGTGCAATCTGTCATAAAAAAATTAAAGTGCAATGGTCAAATGACAGGTAAATCAACAGATCAGATGGCACAACCTATTACTGCACCAATGAAATTGTAGGTATAAATCTGTTTATTGTATATTATTTGTGACTGAGAGGCTTCAATGAAGTATTTTAGTTTATTTTCTTAGCTCAGCAGGCAGTGAGTGAATGGTTAACTCTTATGATAGGTAGGTATGCTGTATATATTTTTGGAGTTTTGAAATTTCAATCTTCAATTGCAAAATTGAATACATGGAGATCCTTCTCAAAAGGCCAATTTTTTTTCCTATTATTTTATGTTATCAAATGATCTTGTGCTTTGACTGATGAATTTCTATGAATGCCATTTTATTAGTTCAGTTGATATACATAATAAAAAATATCTATTCATTGTAGTATTGCTAGAAAATTAGCAATAAAATTCAACATAAAATCAAATTAATTCTCTGACATTTTCTTGCCTGTTGTAACTCTGGTATCAATGCTACGTACAGCACAAGGCATTTTTCAGGGCACTCACGAAGGATGATTTAATTATCATTAAACTGTCATTTGCTGAGACTTAAGTCATCAGTCATCAAAATCTCTCCTATTCAGTCACTATTTTTAGTAAAATTGGTACAATGTGATAGTGTTGAATGAAGTTCTTGATTAATTTAAGCAGAGGTTTGTTTTAATGATTAATTCATGCAACTGGTTTTTTAACAAATTATACCGCACCCACAGTAATATTTCAAAAGTTAACATGTTTAAATTGTGAATGAATTGTCCAATTCCTTACCTGCTATAATAACATTTGACTTTATTTACCATTTTACTTTCTCTCTCTAAATCAATAGATTTCATGAAAATTACTGCCAAACTAATAAACATTTCTTGACATAATTTACCAGATCAAAGTCTTTCATTATACCAATTATATCAATATATCTTTTAAAAATGACTGCCAAATTAATGAACAGTTTTGATGTATATTTTCTTCTCAATTTGTCATCTTTACAATATATTTCATTTAAATTATTGCTAAATTAACAAGCAGTTTACATTTTTCCAATCTAGTATATCAAGCAATCATAAATTTGAAAAAAAAATTAAAGTGTGAAACCCCTCCATGTCAAGAATTAGCTCACCTATATGGCAAAATTTTAGCTGCAAGTGAACTTGAAAGTTTGGGCCTCTAATTGTTAACCTTTTACCTGGGAGCTGTGACTCCTTAAAAAATAACACATCAAAATTTTTGACAGGTAGTTGTAGCCTGCACCTGCGCAGGAGTGGTCGCTGTGGGCATTGCAGCTCGCTACCTCAGAAGAAGACGGAAAATCTGTCCTACCAAATCCTCCTTGCTACGCCATGACAGTAGCAGGGCTGCTCGCCGACATAAACCTCTCACCATCCTCAGCCCCTCTGGAGGTATTGGCACCTTGATGCTTGTATACTGTAGTACTGGTACTCATCCCCTGTATTCTGAGTTATGTGTGCACTTTTTTTTATTGCACTGTGCACTGGAGCCTGTGGGATTTTTTTTAAGCTCTTGTAATTGAAATCATAGCAGGTTGCATGATTTCTGTTTGTTATCTGCAAATATATGTTTTTCTTTCATTCAATCATGATGTTATGTAATAACAGAGTATAAATAATAATTTATATAAATAATAGTTAATCGAGATTATTTGTCCATAGAGGTCCACTCCCTTGGTGCGGGTTCAAGTTCCTCGCCTGGATGGAACCGCAGCACAGCACGGCAGAGCGGCAGTAGCGTGTGTGGGGACAGCATCACTTCATCTGGCCATCACAGCCTCAGGCCCGACACCACGCCTCAGCAACTGGGTGCTCTTGGTTAGACTCACTTCGTCCATTTAAGATTCTTCTCGCCATAGGACACAAAATATAAGCTACTTGTATAGTTTCTTTTACTAAAAAGTTCATTACGTACCTTATAATTTCTTGCTCAACTACTTGGGGTCAGATCTGACAGTATCAAACCCCAAGTAATAGAGTAATGCCTAGTTTAGTTATTATTTAGTTTCAAATTGACTAATATACTGTTTAACTGAGCACATATTGTTTACAGGCATGGAGGCACTAAACACAGCCCTAGGATGCTTCGAAGACGCACTCGATGGTTACTCACGCTCCTCACACAACCACACCCTCGCCCTCACAACACATGATGAGGCTGAGTTCATACAGAGTCTGCAGGCTGTCATAGACGATGCATATAGTCTGCAGGACCGCTGTGAACATCTCTTCCTTCACGAGGTAATATTAACGCTCATGCTTAGAACGTTCTATTGCATTATTGCTGTCTCTTGCTGTAGTATTGGTACAATTGTGGTATTAAGGTTCGTTTGGGGGCTGTGCAAATTGTGTTTAATTACGTAATTATATTGTAATTCATTCATCTTATAGATAAGTTGACTGTGTTTAATTAGAGGAGTGTAGTCTTGCAAATTGAAGCTCAATAAGAACCGTAACATTAAAAATTCTGGACATTATTTTCTCAAAAAAAAAAAAAAAAAAAATACTAGGCTGAGAAACATTAAAAACCTTCTAGTTATTGGACCTCAATGGTCCTTGCTGCTGACATTGATCAGTGGATAAGATCTGAGCTTACGCACATGAATGAAAGTGTACTGCTGAATAAAAATTAACTATTGTTAACTCAATTTTGAATAATTCAGCAATTGCATTTGTTTCTGTCCAACAAGAAATCAAATCAAATTCAACTAGAATTCAAGGCTGGACTTGTGTCCTTTGTCTCTTCCCCAGCACTCTGTGCTGTTCCGGTGCCCCAGCAGCCCCGACCGCGACGCTTCACACGCCTCAGGCGGCGGCCACTCAGGGGCGCGGCGGACGCTGACGTCGGCGTCGTCCATGGAGAGCTTCGTGTCTGCCCAGGGCGACGTGAGTGCCGCTGATGGTGCAATGAGCACTGGCGAGCTTCACGTCCTCCAAAGATGACAAATGAGGACATATTGAGCTTATTTTCTAGAAACGTTTCCTGGACTGCTGTTTCATCTCATCTTCAGTTACATTTTATCTTACATGACCCCCTCAAGAGGGACTTCTGACGCGTGTCTGTGCTCGTCAGAAGTTCTATGGGATTTTGCTCTCCTAGGACTAGGAGGATTGTTCCTTAGCGCCTCACAGCCGAGCTCGCGGTGTCTGAATGCAGGTCTCAGTTGTGGGGTTACGTTATTATGTAGGTAGGATTCCTTACTTTCCTTTCTCTGTCTCTCTCGTGCGGGCGGCCGACGTCCCGTGTAAGCGACCTCTTGTTCGAGTGTCTTAGTTTCTATTTCTTTTCACCTGTCCCTCTTGTCACTTTGTCTCTTTGGTATGCTACCGCTGCTTCTCTCGAGCCAGCTTCAGCGGGCTGCACAATTGAGACCCTCCGCCCCTTGTGGGTGATGATTAATTTGAGATTTTGAATAATTGAGACCTTCCGCCTTGCTGGCGATGTTATATTTTGACCTCCGGTGCGAAATAGCTTGATAGCTGAAGCACTAGCAAACCTTTCTACTACTACAAGTACTACTACATCTACTTATCTTACATGAACAAAAACTACATGATAATTATATAATATAGGTATTAAATGATTTAAAAATAATTATATTTTAGACCTGTGATATTCATATAGACATAAATCCCAATTTATTTGGTAATAATTACGGTGCTATTGCATTGAATACTCGATATACTGACCGTGCGCTGCAGATCGCAGACCTGCGGGACCTGGATGACTTTGATGAGTCGCAGTTCCCCCTGTACCTCGTGGCCGTCAGACTCAACGAATCCGTGGGCATCCCATTCAGGTGCGTCTGCACTTCATACATTGACGTCTTATTATTCTCCTAGTTTACATGTTTCCAAGTAGGTACTGTTTCTGTAAAACCTGGTTTTTATTTGCTTAGCTTTGTTAGAATTGTAGATGTAGCTGTCCCAGGCCACGCTGGTGCGTTGCCTTAGCATTCTGCCGCCTCCCGCCCTCGGTAGGCAGGTGGCCGCTCACTGACAAGGCCCTAGAGGTCCATTTGATGCACGATGCTGTTTGTAGCTTTTTAATTAATACGGAAGTGGAGCTGAAAAGGTCTATTAGGTATTTTGCATAAGACCACGTTCTAGTAATGGTTAGAAGGTCTCGAGTGAACTCCGTTCTCTCTGCTCCATCAGTACAGCATTAAACGGTCTCAGTCTCCTTTATGTGAAGTTTAGCTTGACTGCCTCCAATTGTTTCTCTGGACCCACCTCGACAGCAGTACTCAAAGAAAGGGATCACAGAGCTCTTGAGGGTGTGTTTATTGGCCTTTATTCGGACAAGATGTAGTATCGCATAGATCGCCTGCCTTTTGCAGATAAGGTTGCTGTTTTCTAACCAAACGTGACCTCGGTGTCCATTTGAACTCTGATGACAGAAACATTTTTTTGCATAGAAAATTTGGCATGGCATGAATCCAAGCCAACAGTTCTCCTCCGACCCTCCAGTAGTTTATATAATTTTTCTGAAGAGCTCTGCATTGTCCAATTTATTCAAAGGTTTTTGCCGTCTTACTAAGCTTGTTTGGTGGCGCAGGGAGCTGAGGACGGAGGAGGTGCAGTGCGCTAGCGACGCAGAGTACGTGTGTAAGGTACACTGCATCAGGCTGGCGTCGCAGCTCCTCTTCAGCAAGCAGGAGAACAAGGACTGGTTCATCGAGTCTGGCCGCCACATCATCGCTGATCTCATGATCAAGGCAGGCAAGGTAATTCTGAAGACAACTGTTGCTTCAAGATACAGACTCGCCTTGCAAAATAAATTTCACCAATCATCTTATTCGGATTTATTTCAGTTTTTATCTATTTCAAGGAAGTTTATTTGAGGGTTTATTTTTGGAATGTTGATGAAGAATGCAAAAAACAGCAAATCCGCAATTTTTTAGTGACATTGCGTATCTAGTGTTCTATTGCCAACGTAACGTCCTTGTCACTGTGTTAGATCCTTTGTGCTGTGATCGATTGTGAAGGTAGTTATTCCTTGTGTTGTGTTACAAGACGTCATGTTGCCGTGACAGTCGTGGTATTCTTGAACCTGAAGTTAGTTATTCCTTCTGTCGTAGCAATAACGCCGTGATAATGCAGGACCCCAAAGAAGCGGTGATGGCGTACGACGCGATGCTCGAGTACCTCGACTCTTGCGACTGGGGGCTACTGGAGGAGGAGTTGCGAGGTCGAGGCGTCGTGGCGATCACCTTTTACGACGTGGTGCTAGACTTCATTCTTCTCGACGCCTTCGAGGACCTGGACAAGCCTCCCTCCTCCGTCACCGCCGTCGTGCAGAACAGGTGGCTCTCCAACAGCTTCAAGGAGTCCGTGAGTCGTCCAAGTGCAGCGATCGTTTATTGCTCATTAATCAATCAAGTTGAATTCACTTGGAACCACTAGACTGGTTCACGTGATTCCGCTAGACTGGCTCCACTGTTTCTCGTGATACCACTAGACTGGTTCCACTGGTTCACGTGATACCACTAGACTGGCTACACTGGTTTTCGTGATACCACTAGACTGGCTTCACTGGTTCAGGTGATACCACTAGACTGGTTCCACTAGTTCACGGAAAACCGCTAACCTGGTTGTAAAAGTTCACATGGAACTAGACTGGTTTTATTGTTTTGCGTATGCGTAGTATGTCGTCTTTTTTCAAGGAATGTCTTAAGGGGAATTGGCTTGATTTGTCGTGTAAGAAGTTTTCTTGACGTCTGCTGGAGTATGAGTCATACTGTGTTGATTGTCTAGCGTTCTTCTACTGTGGTCACTGTACATAACTTGTTAGATGAGACTCAAATATGACGCTAGTCGTTATTTGGTAATTGATGATATGACGGTAAATATTAAGAGTAGGACTTTGCATTTACGTGATACAATTTTTGTCTTGAATGCATGCTTTGTGTGCAGTCCATGATGAAATTTATAGCTGAATGGTCCATATTGCAAGCATCTTTTGGCTTGTGTGGCCAATACTGAAAACATCATATGACTGTGTGGTCCATACTGAAAACATCTTATGGTTGTGTGGTCCATGCAGAAAGAATTTTACGCTGTGTGGTCCTTGCTGAAAGCATCTTATGACTTTGTGATTTGTACTAAATGAATTTCATATAGGTATGCCACCACAGGCGCTGTCCACAGCAGTATGGTCCATACTTAAGGCGAAGCGGCGCATGCTGAAACACCAGGACGGCTTCATCGCTCACTTCTACGACATCACGGAACACATTTCGCCCGTGCTGGCGCTGGGCTTCCTCGGACCTGATGAAGAACTCAAGCAGGTCTGCACCTACTTCAAGGTGGGTCTCCTGCTGCAGGAGAGTGGCAGTCTGTACCTACTTCAAGGTGGGTCTCCTGCTGTAGTAGAGTGGCAGTCTGCTCCTACTTCAAGGTGGGCCTCCTGCTGTAGGAGGGTGGCAGTCTGCACCTACTTCAAGGTGGGTCTCCTGTTGTAGGAGGGTGGCAGTCTGCACCTACTTCAAGGTGGGCATCCGGATGGAAGGTGGCAGCGTGGTTAGAGATCCCTCCTAGGTTGACAATTTTATTCCTGAGTGCCTGGGTGATGAATCATTGAAAGTGTGAATGAAAACGGCAATAATATCCTACTATTCATCAAAACCTTTAGTCTGCATATCCAAACTGTTACAGATGAGGCTTCATAAGAAGGAGTTAGCTATTTTGTAGGAGAAAGCATTGCTGGCCCTTGTTTTCCATACAAAATTTGTTCCGTGTTCAAGTTCTGGATCTTACAGTCCCAGGCCACACTGGTACGCTTCCTTACCGAATGAATTGTTAAGCAAATGGATTGTTGAGTTTGCAAGGTATTGATTTATTCGTTACATTCAACGAAAAAAGATTTATTCTTTTATGTACTGGAAATAGCTGTGTAAAAATTGCTTCTTATACATAAAAAACTTGTGTCAAACACTTAGACCTTCTAAACACTTCTTATTTTGAATTCAATGCATCAGCATGGGAGAATTGTTCAACGCGTTGATAACATTTAACCGGTAAAACTTCTAACGTTATAATACCTCATGAAATATCTTTGGCATGTTAACATGATAATACCTAATGATACATTATCTCAGTCACCTTAACATAACATATGTTGTGCAGGAGCAGATCATGTCGCTGCTGTACGACATGTTCAGTTTCACCAGCGCCCGCTACACATCTGTGGAGGAACTGGCCTGCGACCTGCTGCGCATGACGCATGAACGCTTCACGCTCATCAGCAAACACATGGCGCTCACATGAGCGTATGCCGTGCTTCCTCTAGTCACTTCGTCCTGTTGTTAACTTTCATTATTTCACATGGAAGTTACCAAGTAGAATATGATACTTAAGTTATACTCGACCATGATACTCAACTTCTACTCGAAATTTGTTCATACCTGTACATCTTGGTTAGTGGGAGTGATGGACGTATTCCTAAGCCTATCATCAGAGTAGCAAGCAGTTGCCATCATAATTTAAATTTTCTTCTCAACGAGTAATGATTTAGAACATAATAGTCATGTTAAAGCGTAATCAAAGTTACTATTAAGGGATGCTTGCATTTGGAGTGCTACAGGCTGGGCCTGTAGCTGTTTTAATGATGGACTCTCATATCACACAAAATAGTTTTATCAATGCCGATAGCCAAGCATAAGGATTAGCTTCCTTATCATTGTGTTTTATACCAGAGTTGTGGATGATTAGTTCGTGTTGTCAGCTAACTTCAGCCATGGCTGTGGTGCGAGCTCAAGTGTTTACAAATACTTATATTTATTGTGCAGCTACTTTTGTCGAGCGCAAATGGAGAATAATGTTCACAAAAATGTGTGGCAATTTTTACTCAGAACATGAGTGCGTCGCTATACAATTTAAATGCCAAAGTTCCTCATTCAGGGATTGCATAATCTAAGTCGACGTAGGTATCAAACCGGAATTTAAGCATTGATTCCGGATTAGCATGAGGGTTCTATCCGCTCGTGAAAATCTTTATAAACGAGATCAGCAATATAGTGATATTTCTCATTACCATCTCTAATAATTTTCTACTCTCGTTTATGTTACAATGAGAGCCGGTAATTTGCCTTACAGTTTCTCTAAATCTAAGTGAAGACAACCGCAGCTAAAGCTAAATGATGTGCACATTTGTGTAAACGTCGAAACTAAAATTGTCTTCTGAGATTCTTGCGACAATTGGTATATAAATGACATTGACTTTTAAGGTGACAAATTGTCTTTAAGGTCGTTCCGAATGGAAAATTTTGTGACCAACTAAAAATTTTTTGCAAAAGTCTTTCATTATAGTTTTTAGCGTGCGGCCCGATCGATGTCTCCACTGAGCGTAACTGCATGTGGTGTTTTTTAGCTTGCATTTTTTGATTAATTCCTAAATTAGAGCCCTGATACCTGAGGTAGGAGCTGATTCATATGTTGAGATTTGATTACAAATGAGCGGACACAAATAGCTTGGCGCTCCAGCGTGGCCTGGGACTGCTACTACGTCCTAAATAAACACCAAGGTTGCACATCATCACGTCACTGCCATCGCTGCCTGTGCTCTTGGCCGCGGTAACATTAGTGAACCGGAAGAATTTATATAATAGGAATTTATGCCATCCCACTAAGTGAAATTCTCATTGAATCAATACAATGATTCAATGAGAAAGTGTAATTTTTTTGTGTTCCTGCATTGAACAAAGCAAAACTTGCTTCTAATATCAACGTACTTTTAAATTATTCACTGCCCAAAATTAATGCTTATTTTGATCTCAGTGTAACCTTAATCTGAAGGTCAGTGTTGACTTTATGTACACCATTTATTATTTTTAAATGTACTCGAGAAATGAGCGTTGTGATCTTATTATAATTGTATTCATGAAATGGATTCGTGGTGACTCATGGTGGAGCTTCATTTCCATGATTGCTTCCATTGAACGCAACATTATTTTGCATATGAACCACATTTTGTTGCATTTGCTACTTGGTGTTGTGTCGATGTCTGCGCTTGAGCTTTAGTTGCAGAATAAGGAACTGTGATACTCGTGTGTTCTCAGGCTTGTGATGCATTCCTGTGTACTTTTTGGGAGGCTTTGCCGTGACGTAAACGATTGTGTTTTATCAGTGAAATACGTGTATTCTTTAATTGAGTGTCGAGAATTTAAAGCGATCTGAACAATACAAACATTTATGATAGAAAACACTTTCAATAGGTACCTCTTCTCTTCATTCTCTATTATTTTGACCGTGGTAAATTATCACTCTAGTTTCATGGTCGTCCACGAATTATTCTTATCCTGAGTTAATTTTATCATGTTCCTTTATAATTGTTTCTGTTGCTTCCCGTCTTTCGGAGGATCTTCTTATTTTTATACTTCACTGAAATTTACATCAGGGCTTGCCACCAACTCCTGCACTCATACTTGGAAACCATAATGTAGGCAGGGCAGTTGTGTATGCAGCCTAAGGCAAGTCAGGTGTTTGAAGCTTGGAAAGACTAGACGTTTCTTCACGCACTTCTGGGAGCCACGCTTATGGTTGATTGATACGTATGCTTTGAAGATGCTACCTCGTACGTATTTCAAGGATGTGACTTTTATTTGTTGTTCCCTCATCGAAGGATATCGTGTAAATAGATTGTTGAATACATCGTCTATTGTTTTTGTCCACCTTAATTTGTACGTTGAGATTGGGATTATAATGCCCGCAGTCGTTTCTATACACTATAGTATAGAGTATAGCTGCCGGTGCGCTTGAGGTAGATCGGAATTAACTCAATGAGCTAAATTATAAAGAGTGTAAATTCAATGCAATGGCTGATCTCGCGCTGAACGCTTCATATAAATAGTTTTGAATTAACCATGTTCGGAATTGATGACCCGTAATCAAAAGCTCTATTTGAAACTTTGTAGGATGTTGCCGTTGAAATTAACGCGAGTTAGGTAGTGAATTATTGCGTGGCGACACACCAGCAAACGTGAATTTCCACGTGAAATAACTTTTTTATGTCACTCGAGTCCGACGTACTGAATTACTTGAGTACATGCATAGCCCAATAACGAAAAAAAAAACTTTCTAAATGAAAGCCCTTTATGTGAAAATAAAGATATTTTTAATAAAGGGGTGGCCCAGTGGTTAAAGTTCAGAGTACCAGGATTGGCGCAGAGAGGCGCGGGTTCGATCCCAGATCTGTGCGCGTTTCTGGTCAGAATCGGCAAGGAGGCCGGGCGGTTAAGCACAGCAGAATTGTAGCAGTGCGTTGCGAGTTCGAGACCTCATAAACATAATGCTGAGAATGTTCTGCGATGTTAAGAATCGGCGACAGGCCTACGATCTAATAAACGCTGAAAACGCTATTATTATTATTAAAGGCGTAACCATATCTTCTATAAAATTGCATAGAACGTGGCTGATGCACCGCAACTCAGACTTATAAGCAAAAAAAAAAAAAATCCGCGGAGTGACCTCCCAGCTCTTCACGCAGGCACCTTTGTTGGGCTCGGCCGTCCAATTACAAGCCACTCATTGGGCGGGTAATTTGCCGCGGAATTCGTTCACGTCCGCAATTGCGGATTAATCGGAGCTGATGATACGGAATTTTCAGGGAAGCTTGACGCTCTTTTGTTATCAGTGAAACAGGAATTGCAATCGAGAAACATTTTTATTATTGCATGTGCAGCAAATATTCTGAAGTTTTTGTTTTTCTTTAATCGAGAGGATGACTTTCATTAAGCTTCGTGTTCGTATCAGGACAGAATCGAGGTGAGAGGGCTGCACGTGGAGGCCAGAAATAAAACGACAATTGAGGAGATTTTGTTTACAGATATGAAGGTAAAACGTTACGTACATTATGTTTGTCGATATGACGGTAAAAAGTTACATATATTATGTTTGTCGATATGACAGTAAAAATTTAGTAGATTGCGTATGTGGAAACGCATAACTGGCAAAGTGGGCAGGGTGGCCCAGTGGTTACAGTTCAGAGTACCAAGATTGGCGCAGAGAGGCGCGGGTTCGATCCCAGCTCTGTGCGCCAGTTTCTGGTCAGAAGCGGCAAGGAGTCCGGGCGGTTAAGCACAGCAGAATTGTAGCAGTGAGTTGCGTGTTCGAGACCGCAAAATGCTGTGAATGTTCTGTGATGTTAAGAATCGGCGACAGGCCTACGGCCTACTAAAAGCTGAAACCGCTATTATTATTATTATTATTATAAACGAAGGTTATACGTGGGAGAACAGAGTTCGTTTATCGGCTTACAAAACCCATTTAATATTAAGTTTAGTTATACATAGTTTACTAAGCAATTATTACGTTAAAAAAGAAATAGTAAGCAGGTTTGGCAATAGCTAAAATAATTTTATTCTCATTTTCATACAGTATGAAAGGCTAAAAGGCTTTCAACATTGTGCAAAAATCTTAAGGATTCTTTAAGGTTAAGTTGACTTACGAAATCACGCAGAAAATGCCAAGCATTGAAAATGTTATACATGGATTCCAGTTGAAAAAAGACCAAATTATGGTTTTATCTGAATTTTGTGAATCGAAAACGGTTTTACGACTCAGAAATTATTGAAAAAATTAACTAAACGATGCCCACGTTTAGAGTCCAGACGACCCGAGAAATTTGCCGCTGATTTTTTTTTTTGCATGACTACGAACCTTGGCTACTCCACTGGAACCATTACAGTTTTCTTCATCCTGAAGTAAGCTCAACGTGGATTTTCAGTCAAGAGTTTTGATTGATGCTCTCAACAAATTGGGCAAGTTTTGTGCGCCAAGTGGCAGCCCTCTGACGGATCTCCATAACTTGGTTGTTTTTTTTCGATATTCGATGCAACATCAAAACACGTCGGGGGCTCTCAGGTAGGTTTTTTTCGAACGTCAAAATGAAATTTGATTGAGCGAAACATAATTTAAATACCAGGGTTAATTGATGCAAATTTTGACCTATTGATTGTGCATTATACATCCAAAGTAATTGAAATTCTAGCATAACTGGCAAATTGGTGGGATTCCTTCTTTATTTATTTAAGTCACACTTTTGGGCACGCAGAATATCTTCCTGTGAATTCCTCTTTAGTTTTCCCAGATCAGCATGACACTAGGGAACAAGTGCTGCAGCAAGATCAGCATGACAATAGGGAACAAGTGCTGCAGCAAGATCAGCATGACAATAGGGAACAAGTGCCGCTGCAAGATCAGCATGACACTAGGGAACAAGTGCCGCTGCAAGATCAGCATGACACTAGGGAACAAGTGCTGCTGCAAGATCAGCATGACACTAGGGAACAAGTGTAGCAGCAAGATCAGCATGGTAATGAGAGAGCAGCTGTCGCGGCATTCTGAGACGCGTCAGATCACAATTTGCCTCCACCATCTCTACAAATTTGCTTTGGGTTGATCGCATTCATGACTTTAATCGAAGGCTATTGCTTGTTTTGTATTTGTTAACTGAATACTATTTATCAAAATTCAATTTAGCGTCGTTAATTATCTGTGTTGTCATACATGTTCTGTGCTGTCATTGTTTTGAAAAGGCTATCCATAATTTTCTTCTAGCTTTCCCTATGGGAATGAATATTCTTGACCATATGTCCTGAACGCATCGGAAACTACAAAATATTAAGCTCTAAATCACGGCTCATTGAATATTTCTATCTACTAGTGTAGTGTAACTTTGAATGGCTCTTAAGACAAATCTTTGGAAGATTTTGTCGGAGTGATTTCGCACTAAAAGTAAAGATTTGATATAATTTATGTAGCCGTTTAATTAGAGAACTTTCTCATATCAGCTTCGCATGAAGACGTACAGGCCGTTAAACTTCACTGTAACTCCGACATGGCAACTTAAAAACGAACAAGTTGCCCTTCGTTAAGCGGGTATAATTGCATTTAGATAAGTGGCTTCTGGCATCGGCAATCTGCAAAATTAATTCCATTGCAGTCGCTTAGAACCTTGCAGTTCTGGGCACCGGCAAGTCGTTGCCAACTTTGCCGCTGCCAAATCTGTTCTTTGCTTTCAGCCTCGCAGTCTCACAAGCTGCGAGCCGCAACACTTCAGCCGCTTTATGGCCTCAGCCACTACATGGCCTCAGCCACAACATGGCCATCAGCCACCTCATGGCCTTCAGCCACAACATGGCCTTCAGCCGCAACATTGCCCTCAGCCACTACATGGCCTCAGCCACAACATGGCCTTCAGCCGCAATATTGCCCTCAGCCACAACATGGCCTTCAGCCGCAACATTGCCCTCAGCCACTACATGGCCTCAGCCACGACATTGCCCTCAGCCACAACATGGCCTCAGCCACAACATGGCCTTCAGCCGCAACATTGCCCTCAGTCACTACATGGCCTTCAGCCACAACATGGCCTTCAGCCACAACATTGCCCTCAGCCACCACATGCCGTCAGCCACAACATTGCCTTCAGCCACAACATTGTCCTCAGCCACCACATGGCCTTCAGCCGCAATATGGCCTTCGGCCACAACATTGCCCTCAGCCACTACATGGCATCAACCGCAACATGACATTTAGCCACAACATTGCCTTCAGCCACAACATTGCCCTCAGCCACAACATGGCCTTCAGCCACAACATTGCCCTCAGCCACTACATGGCATCAACCGCAACATGACATTTAGCCACCACATGGCCTTCAGCCGCAACATTGCCTTCAGCCACAACATTGCCCTCAGCCACAACATGGCCTTCAGCCACAACATTGCCCTCAGCCTTTGCTCCACTCGCTCAAGACAATCATGCAAGCTCTATATAGTTACGATAAAATTCAACGTGTGTTGCAATATATGAATGTATAATTGTACAGTCAGAGATTGTTTGCATGGAAGTTGGTTTAGGCAAAGAATAAATCATTTGACGTAGGCGTCCAAATAAATCAGGCACCGTGAGTGGTTCCTTTTGCGTGCAGTTAAATCAAGTAATCGATATTTTGTAAAGCGAATACCGTATTGTTTCAGTCCTATAATCTAATTTATACAATTTGCTGAATACTCTTTTCGTTATGAATTTAAAATAAAAATGAGAGAAACTCAATGCGCGAGATTATATTAAACCACCGTCGATGAATACTTGCTTAATAATTGAAAATATTCGGCAGATTGTCTGAAATATCATTAAAATTTTTATGTCGATCTTCAGGCCAAATAATGCACGCATGAAGTCAACTTGCTGATCAGCAAACATTTCAGCAAAAACTGTTGGGTCGCGATTCTTGCTCCAATAGCGGGAGATAAATAAATATATTCTTCGATTCTGTCGGACGCAAATAAATCAGAGACCGCGTGGAAAACAATAACAGAGCCTGAACTTTGTATAAACAGCTGGATCCAGGAAGCGTTTAAAAGAAAATACTTGGCTCCTGAGCTTGTGTTCCAGCTCAACTTGCACCATTACAAAGTTGAAAGCATCCGGCACAAAACCTAACACACTTCGCACGTCTCTTATATAGTGTCTGGAAATTTGGACTCACGTCTGAATTAGGTTAGAGCTGAGCACTGGGTAAAGTAAGACAGACAGCAGAGAAAGTCTCATGTTTGTTCACATATAGAGTTTGTGCTGAGTTACTGAAATATTGAGCGCAAACTCCGCAGACTTTTTACCTGTTATACTTCGGCTTACAGCAATTTT